CCCAGCACCCCTGCCTGCTATGTACCGGGTAATCCCAATAAAAGACCTGCAAAAACCACTGAGCACTCTGACTCCTCCTTTACCCGGTCTGCTGGATCATAAAAAACCTGCATTGTGGCCTGTCCTGCCCTTACAGTTGGTGAAGCAAGAACCTAGCCTTAAACTCTAAAATGATCAGCCCCCAAAAGGGGTGGATGCCCCCTGGCAACTCCACCACACCTTCAGCAATTTCCACACAACTCCATGTGCCTACAAATATTTTTATTTTTAATCTGGGTACTGGGGATACTAGGGACAGCTTAACATACAGTATAGAATTCTTTTTAAACCAAATTTTCCTGTAAAATAAATAAAAATAAGTGGGCCAGTAAACATAATACATATGTGCATCTATCATCAAACAGGAACTGGTTTCATAATGTGATTAACTGCTGTTGTGGGCAGTCACTGATCTTTCTATGGTGAGCAAACCCCAACAAAGCAGGTCTCTGAGGTCCCTCAGCTCCCGGCCCTTGCTGGCAGTTGAGCATCTCCATCCAAGTGAAAGGAAAGGACACAGACAGGGTTGTTCTTTGATGGCAATTCAGGGCCAAAAAATGTTTGGACTTTAGGGACCACTTCAGGTCCCCCGTTCTATTATAAAGCTAGTTCAAATCTTTGTCTCCAATGATGACAAATATGAATCTTTTCTGCAGAGGCAAGAAAAAAAAAAAAAACTACTAACTGTTCTAACTCAAGCTATATGCAAATGGGATCACGTCAGCTCCAGCTCAGTCAGGGGGTGGAAAAGGGAAGGCTGCTCACAGTTGGGTGAGAAACTGTCTCCTGTCGTCATGGAGAACTTCCACGTTCTGCAGCTGGAGACTGGCCGCCTCTCCTCCTGGATCCGCTGGCTCAGCGGAGAGGAGGGCTGGGTCCAGGCACCTTGGGGTACTTTCCTTCTGTGAAAACTAAGGAAAGGAAGAGCTGGAACAGGCAAAATCCAGGGATTAACAAACTACTGCTTTGAATGTTAGCCTTTCTTTTATTAAAGTAATTCTATACTTTAGGATATAACATGTAATGGGTGAAAGACTGCTTAAACCATGTTACTTAGCAAATTTCTGTCTAATGATAAAAAGAAAATTAACTTTTATCTTTCTTCCAAATATACACACCTGCCACTTAAATTACATTCCAGTAGGGGCAGCTGTGATTAAATTATGCCCTGCAGTCTGTGGTCCAACTACAATGGCAAAGGCAGGTGTCTCTGAGGATGGATGAACTTTCTTGAAAAGGTTAAATTCAGGGCCTTCCTGGTGGCGCAGCAGTTGAGTGCTGGGTTGCGAAGCTGCCCGCAGCCTCTGCAGCAGCAGCTCGATCCCCAGCCACCGGGTGAGGGTCCCACATGGAGTGCAGACCTCTCCTGTTGCCCACTGCTCCCCTCAGCAGTATATTTAAAAAGAAAAAAAAAAAAAAAAAGGTTAAATTCAAAAGTGCATACTTATCCTGCTCCTCAGTATGGTCATGGGCAGCAAAAGGAACTACGAACAAGCTCAATGGAGACCCACATGGCACTTTCTTGTGGACCTTCATGTCCAAAGATAATTCAGTGAAACTCAGGGGCAAGGCTGAGCACAGGCCCACACGAGCCTCATGCCCAGAGAGGAGCTCTGAGCCCTGCCCCACTATGGAAAGGATGGAGCCACAAGGTGACTGCAACTGTCCTTCCTGGGTAATGGACACAGTTATTACTTTGTTCTCTATTTTTTATTTTTCAAAATTAAAAATGTGTCAAATGCACAACTGATCTAGGGATTTGTACTTGACTACGAAATTAATGAGAGTTGAGAGTCAGGGAAAACCTCTGCCATCTAGACTCTTTCTGCCCCTCCTTTCCCAACTAGTTATTTCTGCTGCTTTAAAAATGACCCTGTGCAGGGCCTCCCCGGTGGCGCAGCGGTTGAGCGCTGGGTTGCGAAGCTGCCCGCGGCCTCTGCGGCGCCGGTTCGATCACCGGCTGCTCCCCGGCCACCGGAGGAGGGTCCCACATGGCGCGCAGACCTCTCCTGCCGCCCGCTGCTCCCCTCAGCAGTGTGCTTCGGTCCTTCTGCCTGCTCTGCTCCCCGCTCTGGCTCTGGTGATTTCTCTCACCCTCCCGTGCTTCTGACTGTACCCAGTGCATGTATAAACAAAAACAAACAAACAAACAAATAAATAATAAATAAATAAAAACATGCCTCTATAAAAAAAATTTAAAAAAAAGTTTAAAAAAAAATAAAAAAATAAAAATGACCCTGTGCAAAGGCTGCTCCATCTCTTCTCCTCTCCTCATGAGGCCTCTGCTCCACTGCAGCACTGGATTATGTGTGGTCAGAATCCCTGGGATGTTTCCCATGAGGACCAGGAAAGAAGGGAATATGTCATTTTTGGTCATCCAATTGCGAGAGCAGTGCAATGAAACAAAGATCATGTGCTTCAGGGCCAGCAGACCTAGGGCAGACTTCCTCCCGGCTCTGCTTCTCTCAGGCTATGACTCAACCTCCCTGAGCCTCAGTTTTCACATCTGCAAAACGTTACCAGCGAAAGTATTGTGAGGCTTAGCAATGGCAAATACGGAGGAGTGTGTAGCACAGGGCCAGCCCACAAGTCTTAGGGAGGGAGGGAGAGAGGGAGAAAGAAAGGTGGCCAGGAACATGAAAAGGGCTGACATACAGAAAGGCTGTGCCACTTCGAAGCAGCTGAAGAAAACAGTGCTAGAGAAAAGCAGGACTGTCAAAGGCTCATGGGGGATAGGTGCAGGGGGGCAAGTTAAGGGGTGAAAGGAAAGAACTTGGCAAGGATGAGAGAATCCCCAATTAGAGTGAACTAACTTGAGGAGCAGAAGCTCCATATCCTAGAAGGGTCCAGCTGAAGCCAAAGACCCACCACCCCTGTCAAATTGCATAGGTGGGAGAGCCCTGCTGAAAGCTTCCCAGCCTTTATGGAAGGGGTCACTCCATTTATCTACTATTGAATTACTACTGCCTTAATCTTTATTTTAAAATCACCATATTTTAACTTAAAATCTTTCTTGAGCCTTAATCTGAGCAAATTATCCATAAAATAAAAACAGGTTTGATGTGATGCCTGTATTTTTAATAATGCATATAAACCAGCACACACACACACCCATTCAAATGAAAAGATACTGTATTTATTCCACCTAAAGTCACATCCCTCACTACTACAAGCAATGTGTTCTATAGAGGCAGAATCTAAATTAAATGTGTTTTGAGGGCTCTTCTGGGTCTATGATTCTGTTATCTGAATTTGCTTGAATACTGATAATGTTCTGCATCTCATGGCCCTTTCTGATCTCCCAAGCCTGTTCTCATCTGTGTATTTCATCTAATCCCCATGACAACCCTGAGGGCTGGGCAGAAAAGTCACAGATAGATTCTGGGCTCCTGCAATATGGGACCCACCCAAGGCTCTCTAGATAGTCACAAAGGACCTGGACCAGAACCAGAGCAGGAAGTTTCTTACTCTCCATCACCTCCTCCTTCATTCTATCCCTATTCAAAATAGCCCAATCAGTGCTCTCCAAAATTTCATTAGCAACACAACCCAGATGTAAATGGCAAAGTCTTATCCATTCAGATGGCCAGATGCCAGGCTCTCTGGATGAGAATATGCCTGGCTGAGACACAGACCCAGAATGTCACCTCCACAACCAGTGATGACCCACACTGTCATCTGCCACCTGGCCATTTGACAGGCACTACTCTCATAAAGTTACCAAAAATACTAATGGACAATGCAGCCAGGGATGGCTGCAGAAAGTTGCCTTGAATCATGTGTAGCAACTAAAAGGCCCCAGGGACTCAGTGGTGGGAGTCCAGGACAAGGAGGGCAAGGGGGTAGTCTCTGAAAATGGGCATGACCAGCCTCATCACACACATCAGGAATGGTTCCCAGAAAACAGGAGATGGACATCTAAGAATGCATGGCAGGCACCAAGGAGTGGCTGTCTCCTTGGCCTTGACCTTCACTCTACTGTCTGAAGTGTGTGGTGGCAGCACCCAACTCTCGGGCAGAGTTCCACATGACAGACCACACAGGCTGACTACACAGATTTCAACTCCTGGGCTGGGAACTGACAGCACTGTTCTGCTCTGTTTTCACTCTTGACACCCATCTCTACCATGTTGGCAGGCTAGCAGGGTGGACCCATGGCTGTGGCGGGTGGGGGCAGACAACCTGGGCTTCAGCACTTGTTTTCAGAGATCCATGAATGCCCTATTTTGCACATCCAAGCAACTTTTCTATGTGCTTTTCATTGGCATTTTAAAGAGGCCATTACCCAACCAGGTGAGAATCTCTGCTCTGGACACCAGGCCCTCAGGCTGCATGGCTGTCTGTCTCACACAGGAACTTGACACTAATATCCAATCCTTGTTTTCAGAGACTTCACAAGAGTTGAGGCACCTTTGGGAGATCTAAACTACCTTAACCCACTGTTCGTTGGATTTCCTTATTTGCATGCAAAAGCATCCCATTGATCCAGTAACATAGGGCCCAGGGCATCTCCCAAGTCTAGCAGGGTTCACAAGGTCTCAGAATCCACCAACAAAAATTCCTCTCAAACCTTGAATTCTCTGCTCAGCTTCCAAACAACAGGTATCTGCCAGGTGCCCCAGGGCAGAAGAAGCATGCCCAATTTCCTCCTTTTCCACATACCCAACAAAAGTAAGTATGCCTTACAGTTGGTGGAATGCCTTATACCACCCTGGCAGGTACAGAACTTCTGGAACTCAACACACCCCCTCTGGGCACTTGAGGACTTTCCAGCTTTGCACCAGAACCTGTTCCCATTCAGTTCATATGAGTAAGGTTTGTAAAAACAACACAGTATTCATGAGCAGGTATATTTTCAATTGCTTGCAGAGAGACACACTCTTTGGGGGTACTTCATTGGTAGAAATAATTATGCCAGATGCAAAATACAAACCAGAGGCCACATTCCCCTGAGAACTCACTCAATAGACCAGGCTGGTCAACCTTTGATTCTGGCTGATGTTAGGGCCAGTCCCCCTGGGAGTTTGTTCAGTTCATCAGAGATCAGCTGCCCTGCCTGGTTTCAGGTGGTCATTCAAGTTCAGGAACCAACTCAGGGATAATGGACTTGCCACTGTATAAGCTGTTCAGATCAACTGAAAAATGTGAAATACCTGTGGTTAGAGCTAATAATAAAAGTCATACCTGTCACAAAAACAGCTGAAGTAGGTGAAAACATGAGTAGTGGAAAACACAAACAGCCTCATGCGGAAACAAAGCTGGGAACGTCGAAGACTGTCATTTGCCTCACCAGGGCTTCCAGAAGGCCCTGATGCCCCCTCTATAAAAGCAAACGTTGAGGCTGCTGCTGAGGTGGAGCAGTTTTCACCAGAGCACCACGCATACTCAATACCCCCTTCCCCGATAAAGGCAGACACTGCAGCCTTAAAAATCCTAGGATATCAAAGCCCTGTGCCTCCTGCCCTGGCAGAGAAAGGACAAATTCCAACAGAAATCAGACAGAGAAGCTAACTAGCTGCTGGGCAATGAGAACAGACCCAAGGGGAAAAACCACGGCCATAAACATTTTCAACCCCAGTCAGCAGGGACTTGCAATTTACAGGAAATTAGGAGATTTACAAAATGTTACCAGCTCAAGTTTCTTCCCTAGGAAGAGAAGGAGAAACTCTAAGAACCATCTCAGTGAGAGCACTTTGTTCATTGCAAGCCCCCCCCCCATACGTGTCAGTCATTAATGCTAACAGCCCATTACCCCACACTTCAACCAACCAGTGAATGTCAAAAGAGTAAAAGCCCTCCAGCCCAGGGCAGCCAGAACCTCACAAGAAGGACAAAAAAGCTGCAAGCAAGGTCTAAACCTGGTTGCTAGATAGTGTCTTGGACAAGTTGTTGACACTTCCTAGTTCCAGTTTCCCATCTGCATATGGGGACAATAATAAAATCTTTCTGAAGGAATCTTATCAAATGATGAGCAAGAACATCTAAATCAAGAGCCTCTCCTGTGTCAGACGTGCTGACTGTTAGTACAGTGGAGTTTCAGGGATTTTAAGTCAGATCTCCTTGTAACTCCCGCTGCCATGGAGGTCATGCTTTTGAGGCCACAATTCTGAGTCTTTCTGTCACCCTTTCTGGTCAGGTCTGGGACAGAGAGTGAATATCCGAGGAGCAAGAACCATTCTAGTTCCAAGATTTGGGACCAGCAGGGACCCATGGAGAAGGACGGGCATCCCAGAGCTCTGCTATCCAGGTCCCAGTCCACTTCTCCAGACTCCACTTTGTCCCCAGCCAGTACACTTCAGCTGCAGCTGCAGTGCTCAGTGCCCCGCTCCTGCCAAGTATCGCCGCCTCTAGGAGGCCTCCTTGACCTCCCACCATGGCGAGTGGTCCCTACCAGGCTCCAACAACCCTTGAGCTTCTCTGTCCCAGTACCCACCAAGCCGGGCTGTCACTCAGTTTGGGCGGAGCAGGAACGGGCACGGTGCCCCCATACACCCTGGGCGCCCCAGCCAAGTCTGGTCAATGAATGAGCCGGGCCCTCGTTGTGACCAGAGCCCCAAGCGCAGTGAAGAGTAGTTTAAGAAGCCGGCGGTTTTTTATTATTCAGAAGAATATGACAACTCTCCCAGCGGATCCCAGCCCTCGTTAACGCCATTTTAAAAGAGGAGCGAGAGCCTCCGCGCCCCCACCCCGAGTCCCACCGCCCAGCTCCCCGAGGGTCCTCGCCGGGATAGAAAAGCAACGCAAGGGCGGTTACCGTGAAAGGGGCTCTTGAGGCGGGGGGCAGACCTTCCCCACTGGGATCTGGGTAGTGAACGGTTTTCTGGACCTCACACCGCTACGTGGAAGCCTGCGTTGGGAGCCTGAAGCGACGCACGGCTCGCCCCCTGCGCGCCCCGCTCGGCCGGGCCCCGGGGGCGGCCACACCTCCCTCGAGGGAACAAAGCGCCCGCCCCGGCGGGGGTCGGCGCGGCGGGGGCCCCTTCCCCGTCCAGCCTGCCGGGAACACTCACCGCGCGCTCCGGCCCGGGCTCGGCTCCAGCCCTCAGGCCGCCTCCTCCGCGCCCGCGCCGGCGAGGAGGCAGCGCCGCGCCCGCCGGGCCCCGTGGCTGTGGGACTGGCGGCTCCCGGCCCGCGGGCCCGGCCGCTCCGGCCCGTCCCCGCCCCGGCGCCTCCTTAAAGCGACCGCGCTGTCCGCGCGCGCGTCGGGAGCGCAGGGCGCGCCGCGCATTCCTTATATTGCAACAGCGCCTGCTAAAAATAGAGCTGTGCCGCGGACGCGGGGGGAGCCCGGGCCCGCCCCCGCGACCCCGCCGCCACCGCGTGCACCCCGCCCCTGAGGCGCGCGGTCCTCGAAGTCCCGGCCGCCCTCGCCGAGCCGTGCGGACCTGGCGGGAGCGCTAGCCCGGCCCCCCGCGGTGCTGATTCTTCCCCCGCCGCCCCGCGCGGTTACCCGGGTCCCACCCGTGGCGCTCAAGAGCTGGTTTTAAGGTGGACGCGGACTGGGAATTCGCCCCGGCCTATTTAAGAGCCCCTGCGCCCCAACCTTTGCATTTCTGCCCGGCCCTGGCAACTTCTGAGTTTACCAAAAGCATCCCAAGTCCTACGAGGTCCCCGACCGCCACGTTGAATCCGGGGGGAGTGTGTCTCCCCAGATTCTGCCCCCTGGGCCTTCGGGTGCAGCATTCCTGGGCCCAAACTTCTTTTAGAGATCGTGTGAGACAGGAACAGGCGACACTCACCCTCCACACTGTTTCGGTTTCACCAGCTCCATTTTCCCCTTATTTAAAAATTTGAGATATAATTCACATACCACGAAAATCTTCCTTTTAAAGTGTACAATTCAGTGGTTTTTAGGATAGTCACAACATTGTGCAACTATTATCATCCAATCCCAGAACATTTTCATAACCCCCTCCAACAAAACAAAACTATTAATTTTTATTTACAGTCCTCCTTCCCCTACCCACCTCCCTCCAGTCCCAGAAACCAATGGAGTGTCTGTTTCTCTGGATTCCATAAAAATGGAATCATACAACATGTGGCCTTTTGTGACCACCTTCTTTCACTGAGCAGAACATTTTCAAGGTTTATTCATGTTGTGCTGGGCAGCAATGCTGCATTCCTTTTCCCGACTGAATACTATTCCATTGCATGTATAGACCACATTTTATTTATCCATAGCAGCAACTAACAATTGCTTGTACTTTTAGGTTGTTATGAATAAAGCTGCTATAGAGTCACGTTTGTGTACATGCGAACATGTTTTCATTTTCCTGGGTATACACCTAGATGTGCAATAATTTTGTGTTCACATGCTAACTATGTTTAATATTTTGAGGAAGAGACAAACTGTTTTCCAAAGTAGCTGCATTTTTTTACATGCCCACCAACAATGTATGAGAACTCCAATGTTTCTCATTCTATTGGGAATTAAGGTGTATCTCCTTATGGTTTTGATTACGGAAGCCATTTTTATTTGCTTGTCAGTGGACCTTGAGGTTGTCTTAGGACCAGCTTTACACATCTGGAAAACCCATTCCCTTACCATTTTGATAGCTTCTGCCTCCACCCCAGGCCTCAAAGGCCCTTACTGCCCTGAGTCCTTTGTGCCAGACTGGTCCTCACATTCTGATGCAGACTTAGATAGTCATCCCAGGTACCCTCCAGGTACATGGAGGGAGATGTTGTGTCCTTCTGCATCATAATTCCTACCTGCTACTCTGAAGGTCTGGTAAACCCCATGAGTCCCCATGGCTGGGGATGGAAGTATGCCATCCAAACTATCTCACTTGGTAGGGAGTAAAAGAACAGGTTGGGGGTGGGGGTTGGGTGGGGTGGAGGGATGGGGCTTGAAGGACAGGTGTTCATCTTGACTGACTGGGTCTTTTCCTGGAATCAGCCTCTTCCTCCCCTTTCAACTTACCTCAGGCCTTGGGGGAGGTGGGTATATGTCTGTGTGTCCTGGTTGTCTGTCCACTCCTTACAGGTTCCTTCTGTCAAGAGACATCCTCTCCTGGGCCCAGGCTGCACAGTAACCTGCCTCCTGTCCTCAATTTAAGCAGAGATGGCATCTGCACAAAAATCAAAGATTTGTTTTTATATTACTTTCATGCACAAAGCTTTAATAATTAAGTTGTTTAAGACACCATTTAAACAGCTAGTTTATACTACACAGGTATCTGGGGTTCTCTATTGCTCAGATCAAACCTTGCTGCTTTTGGCTGGGGAATCATAACCAGGCACTTGTCCCATGGGGGCTGCCTCCTCTTCTCCTTGAACCCTGAAATAAAGTGTGACTCAGTTGCTGGCAGGCAGGGCCTTTAGAGAACAGGATCACTGAGCAGAAAAGTGCAGTCTGGGTATGAGAGTTCATTCTTTCAGTAAATACTGTGAGAGCACCTACTGTGTGCCAGGTGCTGTGATAGAGGCCTACCTCCAAGCAAACACTGAATGCCAGCTGAGGGATACGTAGTATGGATATAAAACGTACTGGGGGCTGTGTGATAAGCAGAGAGAAGGTGAAGTAGACCTTAATACCCATTCCAGTAACCGTCTCTTCAAGGTCTGTGACTGTAATTAGATCTTGCTGAGCCCAAAACACCAACTCTGAGTTAGCAGAAGAGCTTCACCACACCCCATGCCTGTTCATCCCCTGTTCATCATAGAAGCAAGCTGACCTTGCTTCTATGCCAAAACAAGGCCTTTATTCACCTGAGCTGCCCATGATGTGGCTGTCCAAGTCTTCTCTCAGGATTTTCATGGCCTTGACCAACCCCACTTCAGTCATTTGTCATCTACAGTTCCCCCCCCACCTCGCTATACCCTCTGCACCCCCTATCCTCCTCGGTCCCAGCTTCATTAGGAATTAGTCCTCCTAATGATACTTGTGGTTCGCTGATTCTTGTGGTTCATCCTTCAGTGGGCCCCCTCTTGTTTTCTGGAATCAGAAGAACTTGTAATCAATCAGCTTCCCACTCATGGCTAACCATCTCCAAAAAGTTGCCCATATTCAACTAATATGTTTCTGATTATTTTTTTCTCATTCCTGGTTGTTCCTCTGTTTAAACTGAAGTCCAGTGGCTTTTAAACATTTTGAGCTTAGACCCATAAGAAGAAATAGGGTTTTTTTTTTAAGATTTTTTTTAAGATTTATTTATTTATTTATACAAAATCCGGGGTACAGACCAGATGCGCGGGAGGGTGAGAGGATTCACCAGAGACAGAGCCGGGAATAGAACAGGTAGACTGACCAAACACACTGCTGAGGGGAGCAGCGGGCGAGACAGGAGAGGTCTGCTGCGCGTCATGTGGAACCCTCTCCAGCCGGCCAGGATGGAACTGGTGCTGCAGAGGCTGCAGACAGCTTCACAGCGGGGTGCTCAACGGCCTGTGCCACCAGGGGAGGCCCAAGAAGAAATAGGTTTTATATTGCAAATCAGATCTCTCTTTCCCCCCTCATACAAAAAAATTTAATGAAACAATATCTATCTTACTATCTGTGGTGCATTCTGATCTATTCTATTCTGTTTTATTAAAAAGAAGTAAGGGCCTGATTCATCCACAAGGTCATCTCCTGTCTCATGACATTTGTCAGATTTTTAGACCTTTATGGGGGCAGAGTCAGGATAGTTGGATTGGAAACTTTGGAAGGGCATACCTGAACTCAAATTTTTTGTAACTGAAGTCATAGAGTCAAAATCTACATGTGAAACACAGGGTAAATCAGAGATAGATTAAGTCTTGTAAAAGTAAAACCTGCTAAATTCTTAACCAGATTGAATTGCTTATTCTTCATCCCCATCACTTAATAGAGGAAAGAGGAAACACTGTGTGGCAAATGGCACCATCTGGAGTGTCTATGTCTCTTATATGTAAAGTCTACATGTAGTAAAAAGTAATGAGTCAGATGAAGATACATGAAAATACAATTCATAAGCAAGAGAAAAAAACAGACAATAGAAGCGTACACACAGATCATGTTGGAGTCAGTAGACAGGACTTTAAAATAACTGATTGTGGAGGAACTAGAACTCTCATACATTGCTGGTAGAAATGTAAAATATATATCCATTTATCACTCAGGATACAGAAATCACATAGTAATTTGGACAGGGAAATTTTAATATAAAGAATTACCAATTATAAGAGAGAACCAACTACTAAAGGGAAAGGGTATCCTAAAGAATACAATGATGAGAAATGTAATAGACAGATCTCTAGAGTGGAGGCAGAGCACATCAGAACCAGGAAGAGAAGTCCCTTCCTCAGAGAAGCTCTCTATTGACAAAGCGTAATATTGTGCCCTATGGTAAAGGAGAACTATTTCCAGGGTCCATCCCTGATCACTGAGAAGATGGTGAAGAGGAATTTGGAGCTAAGAGGCAATAAATTGATAACTGGCACAATCGGTTTTGAAAAACTATTTAATTGAATCTTCTAAAGCTAAACATACTGACTCAATGTTGTTGCTATTTCTAAGTATATACAATACCTAGGATAAATTAGTAAATATGTTCACCCAAAGACATGTATAAAAATATTGATACAGCTTTAATTAAATAACTAGAAGCTGGAGACAACCCAAATGTTTATTAACTGGAGGACAAATAAAAGATAACTTGTAGTTTGTTCATACAATGTAATACTATATTGCAACAAATAAGA